GAGGGTGCAGCAGGGACCCATTCTGGGTAAGTAGGTTTGGCCGGCAGGGGAGGGGATAGAGAGGTTGAAAAGACATCTGAGAGAGTTAGGGAAACCAGATCTGTCTGGACCAGGAGCGGGCTATGAGAATTACTCAGGCATGGTCCCTTTTGATGTTTCTGATGAATCTCAGAAGTGGGATTGAGGGCAAGGCATAAAATAGGTAAACCTCCCAGAGTATCAGGAAAGGATCACCCAGGGAACCCTATTCTATATCTGCTCTGGAGAAGTACTGCAGGCATTTGGCATTGGTGCGAGAGATGAAGATGTATCTGGGGAGATCCCCAGTCTTGAAATATGGACCTGATTACCTATCGATCTATTTCGTATTCGTGGTCTATGGTGAAAATCCTGCTGAGGGTGTCTGCTGCAATGTTGATTCCAGGCAGGCACGACACAGTTAGGGTTGTATAGTTGGTGATGTATCCGCTCCAGAGGTGGAATGCCTTCGTGCATAACAAAGGGGATCGAGCCCTGCCTTGGTGATTGATATAGTACGTGGTTGTTACATTGTCGGTATTCTGACAGTAGAACTGGTTATGCATGATTGGAAGTGTTTGCAGGCAATGGCAACAGTGCGGAGCTCTAGCATATTGATATTTTAGAGATGATTTGTGCTCACACCATTGACCATGAGTAAAAAGATTATCCAGCTTTGCTCCCCAACCAATCCTGGAGTTGTTGGTTGTGATCTGGGTCAATATTTGGCCTCGTTGAAACAGAACCCCTGTCAGCAGATTGGTTGGGATGGTCCACCATTTGAGGGAGGTTAGGACATGTGGATGGGGAGAGACTTGTTTGTGAATGCAGTGTTTTGAAGGGGCATAGACAGATGCCAGCCAGTGCGGGAGGCAGAGAAGATGTAAATGAGCATGCTGCACTACGTATGTCATGGTGGCCATATGGCCCATCAGTTGTATACATGTCAGAACTGTTACTAAAGGGCTTTTGACAACTGTGGCGACCAAGTCCTGTATTGTCTGGAATCTGCACTGGCAGGTAGGCCTGAGTAGTGGGAGAATCAAGTGAGTGCTTATTAACTCTAAACACTGAGATGGCTGAAGAGTGACTTTAGATTGTTGATAATGAGATCTAGGGAACTGAACACATTTCTGGTGGTAGATATCATGTGAAGAGTTTCTGCTTGGGATGAACCTTTTATAAAGCAGTCATCGAGATAAGGGAAGATTATCTCTCTCTGATGACATAGGTATGCAGCCACAACTGCCAGGGGCTTCGAAAATATCCTGCATGCTGAAGAGAGGCGAAAAGGTAGGACTTGGTACTGAAAATGTTCCGATGCTACAAAAAAATGGAGGAATCATCTGTGAGATGGGTGGAAGTAGGCATCTTGTTTGCACCCTTTGACCTACCAGTTGTCCAGTGCTGGGATGATCAACATTAGAGTTGCTATCATGAACTGCTGTTTTCATAGGTGTGTGTTGAGCTTTCGTAGATCTAGGGTGGGTCTCCATCTTCCCATGCACTTCTCTGTGAGGAAGTGTTGGCGTAGAACCCCTTGCCTATGAACTGATCGGGAACTCTCTCTACTGCTCCTATTGTGAGGAGCTGATGAACCTCCTTCCTTGGAAGTGTCCCTCATGAGAGGGGTCCCTCAAGAGGGATGGGAAGGAGGGGGAAGAGGGTGTAAGGGAGAGAAGTGAATTGGATGGAGTAGCTGGATATGACTATTGCCAGGACCAGTGGTCTGTGGTGATGGCAGCCCAGTGATGGTAGAATGGGCGCAAGTGATGGTGAAAGATAGCAGTGTGTTCCTGAATATGGAGGCGGGAAAGGTCATGCAGATCCCTGACCTAGGTTTCAAACCTGCTGCTTGTTGGACAGGGAAGTGGAGGAGCGGTTGTTATTCTGGCACTTGCTCTGAACACGAGATCTAGGATGAGACTGGTCAAAAGGCCTGTGTTGGTTTCTCCAGTATGAGGAATCACACTGATGTTGATAAGGCATGAATCTCTTTCGTCAGTAGGAAGGAGCATATATCCCTAAAGTTCACAGTGTTGTCAGAGAATCTTTACTGGTATGAAGGACCTCATCTGTTTTTGTGGCGCAAAGTTTTCCCCTATCAAAGGGAAGGTCTTCTACCTTTCCTGGGAGCTCTTTGGGGACTCCTGCAGATTGAAGCCAAGAGGCTCTCTTCTTGATGATGGAGGTTGTGATCGACTTTGCAGTCTGCCACATCCAAGGCCATTTGTAAGTCTGTGAGAGCCGTGGTGTATCCCTCCTGAACTATTGACTTCAGCACCTATCTTTTATTGTCTGGCAAGTGTTCCATCAAGTCAGTTAACCTGGAATAATTATTGAAATCATGGTTAGCCAGGAGGGTGGCATTGTTCACTATGCGTCGTTGGAGTATGGAAGACAAGTACATCTTTCTTCCAAAGAGGTCCAAACGTTTATCTTGGGAAGTATTTTGATATTGGGACAACTTGGACCTCTATTGGGCAGCATCAGCCACCAATGAGTTGGGTTGTGGGTGAATAAATAGAAAGCCTAGCCCTTTGCCAGGCATAAAATACTTTGCTTGCTTGTTAGTGAGAGGGACAGATGCGGGCGTTTGCTTTGCACAAGAAAGCCCGATGGCTAAAATGGCCATCAGAGCTTTCTTGCGCAAAAGCGCATCTAGATCACAAAAGCACTTTTTGTGCAAAAGCATCCTTGCCAATCTAGACGCTCTTTTGCGGAAATACTTTTAACGGAAAAACTTTTCCGTTAAAAGTATTTCCGCAAAATCATGCCAGTCTAGACGCAGCCAGTCTGTCTAGGATCAGGATTGAGGTGACAGCCGAGGCTCAGGACCTGCTACCCGTTGGCTTGACAGCCTCAGGGGAGGAACACTGAGGAGTCCAGAGGTGTTACTCTGTGGAGGTAGGTAGCTGGGGTCCACCGTACTGGGCAATCGCCACAGAGGTGGGCCGAAGCACCCTGTGAGTAGCTGGAGATGGTGATCTGTCCCAAAGTAGGTCCCGGGCCTTCACCACAGTCTCAGGAACAGCAGGCTGCTTACAGCCAGGCAGTTGAATGAACCGAACCAAGCGAGTGAAGATAGAACCAACCCGATCTCTTCTGTGGCTCGTGTTTATAAAGGTCCCAAGGCGGGAAAACCACAGGAGCATTTCTAGTGCACAAAATGGTGTTGGGTGAAAACAAATCAGTGCCGAGTGCAGATCTTCACATTATGTGCAGCACCGTGGTGCAATGTGCACAGCCATGTGCCGTGTGCAGATGTTAGAGTTTTGGTGACAAAAGTCTTTTAGCTCCTTTGGGTTCCATTTTAAATGTCCCTCAGCCCACAAACTCCATTTTGGATTATTATGTCCTTATAATTATAATGTCCCAGATCTTGATTCATGACTAACAGGCAACAGTATCATATAAAACCTTACATGTGAGCAAAACATTTTGTTGAATGGTGTTATCAGTGTATTCTGAGTTTGTAAATCATGCTATTTTTTATTAAAAATGGGGCACTAGAGAGGTTATGGGCTAAGAATTCTTTCAGTACTAGGCTGTTGAGTCTATGAATGGTTGAAGTTGTCACCCTCTGTTGGCTATTCAGTGGCCCAGCTTGCATATGTTCTTCATAGCTAAAAACGGTCTTCACTTTCCAGAGCCATCCATGTGAAGCTTTTATGAGCATCAGAATGTATTTTAAATAAGGGAGAATTGCTTGCCGTGTGAGATTATCATTTAGATCAGAGGTGGGGAACTTTTTTGGGTCAGAGCCCACTGACATTCAGAAAAATTGGTCAGGGCCGCACACACAAAACTCTCACAGACAGGGCACCTGACTAAGAAGAAGAAAAACACTCCCCACATTCTCTTCACACACCAGAGGCTGGGGGGCCCAGCATAGTAGATTTTGTATTCTCCAGCCCCATAGTGGGGCAGCGGGAGGCTCGAGTGCTAGCACAGGTTCCCCAATGCAGGGCGGGAGGGGGCTAAACCACAGGGGCCAGATACAGGCAAGCCTGGGGCGGCATCCAGCCCTTAGGGCCTGAGGTTCCACATCCTTGATTTACATTGTTGTTGTCTTCTGAATAGTGAAGCAACTGAAGAAGTTATACATTCTGAAAACTGAACTTAAGTTGACACCAATTACCTCTCTTGATTTTAGGGTACAAGGATTTCATTCAGTGCTCAGTTACATAATTAATGTAAAGACTGAACCAAGCCTTTAGAAATTCTTTTCACCCTGGGTGAATAAATTAGTTGACCAGCAAATAACATATCATTCAGTTTTTCATTATCAGTCAACATAGTAAAGGTGGAAGAATAGATTTTGTGGTTTGGGCTGGTAAATGTGTTATGTTCGTTTTGCAAGTCTGAATTAACCATTTAATTATTAGCAGGACACTGAGTGTTGGATTTGTTTTGCAGTCTACAGTGCAGATAAAAACATTGCTACAAATTGTACTTCATTTTTATGGATTAAAACTAGAGCTGGTCAAAAAAATTGAAAAACTGATTTTATAGAGAAATGTGTGCCCCACTAAACATTTGTAAGCGTCTTCTTTCCACTGAAACTTTGGATTTTTAATTGGAAATCTCAACATCCAAAACTTTAAAAAAAATGGTTAAAACCCCAAATTTCATTTTTGAAATATTGAAACATTTTGTTTCTACATTTGTGACTGAAATGAAAATGTTGACATTCATGAACTGATGTGATTTTGTCTGGCACAGTCTGATATTAAACTTTGTCCTCCTGAGTGGTTGCAGTGCTTCCTGGGAGCTGTAGTTCAGTGCTTCCTGCCACCATTCTCCTCACTGATGATCTGCACTACAATTCTAGTCAAAATTACTATAAACAAGTAAAGTTAATTGTGGTAGGTTTTCTGATATCTTCAGTGCCATTATGTTTCTCCTAATTCAGTGAATAGATATTTGTTGAAACCAGGATGGCAAACTGCTAATATGGCTTTTCTTTGTTTCTTTTCCAGACTTCACAAAACCACCACTAGCACCGAAACCAAAGATTATCAGTCCTCTTTCTTCAGTGGCTGTCTCCAGATTTCCTCCTTCATTGTCAAGACCTGATATTCTTCATAATCCAAACTCTATGTCTAGAGGTCCAAAACCTCCCATTGCTCCCAAGCCAAAACTCTCAGCTGACTCTGAGGGGAGATCTAGTGTTTATACCAACAATAACCTAAATAAATTCACAAATGGAAAACTGATATGTCCAGATGGAGAGCTGAATGAAGGAAGTCAGTGCAACACTGAGTGCTCGGAAGCTGAAGCTGGTGATGAATACATCGTAGTTCCTGAGGTCCAGCTGACTGATAAAGACTGTGATGACTTTGAACATGTGCATGACCAGTGTTTAGAGTCCTCTGTAGAGAATGAGGTCTTAGAAGCAGCAGGGGAGGAAGAGGATCATAGCATTGCTAATGATGAGGAAATGTGTAATCCAGAAATAACTGAAGCCCAGGACAATGACTCTTCAGATACTATTGAACCTGTGGAACTGGACTCAGATGGATCAACAGAAATGAGAGACTATGACAGATCTGAAGCATTTAATCAAGTGTCTTCAGAAGCACCTGAAGTAGAAGATATTGCTTCTAAGAATATAGATGAAGAAGTGGACTGTGTAGATGACCCTGAAAACTATTTCAAAGGTGAGGCTAAAGAAACGTTTAATAACCTCGATCTGGTAAAGGACAATAATGAATATAACTTGGAAAACTGTAAGATTCTGAATGGAGATGAGGACTTGAAGGGCAATATCTGTGAAGACATTATTCTAACACATTTATCTGTAGATGAGCCAACAGCAGAAGAGAATGAAGAACTGTCCCAAAATTTAGAAAATGAGATAGCAAATGATGACATGGAAGTGAATCCAGCAAATAGTAGTGATCTGGATGATAATGCAGAGTCTGTATTGAGTACAGAAATAGAAATAATACATTATAGTTGTGCAAATTCTGATGATGTTGATGGAGGAGAAACAGACATTGGGTTAGGACTGAAAGAAAATGATGCAGAGGAGGATTTGGGAGGCTCCATCAATGAAACTGCAGCTGAAGAAGAGGAAGTAAGTCCAGATAGTGACAAAGAAACAAATGTAGAAAAGGAAGAATATCTAGATGATGGTTACCAAACCATTGAAATGAAAAGTGAGGAGGAAACATCAGAAACAACATGTGAGGCTAGAGAAGACTCTGGAAAAGAGGAAGAAGTGAAGGCAGAGAATATAGATGATAGCTGTCAAATTGTTCCTTTTGAGAGTGAATGCAATGATGATGTAATTGATTCACCCCAAGAAAATTTAGGTGAGAATTTGCAATTTGAAAGGACTTATTTGAATAATGATAGCCAGCTCTCTAGCCCTCACACTGTTAGTGAGCCAGAGCTGGAAGTGGAATGTAAATCAAATGTACTTGTTGAAGATTGTGGTGACTATGAATGTTTTGTGGGAAAACCTGAATCAGATGAGCAAATGCTTGAAGGCAATACAGCCAGTAGTAGCTTTGAAGAAAGCTCCCCAAATCCATGTGAACAAGCATCAGTTGAGGATAAATACCAAACAGAAGAAGAATTAGTTGGATATGATCAAAGCAAACGTAAAGCAGACTGTGATTGTAAACATGAGTGTAGCGAGTATCTAGCAGTCCCTGAAGTGGTAATTGTACCTGAGGAAAGAGAAACAACCAGTGATTCTCTAGACGATCCTTATGTGTTGCCTGCAGAGAATGCAACCCCACATGTTAGAGAAGTGAGGCAGACTGAATTAGAAGATATTCCATGTGATCACAGCATAAGAGAAGAACTCACTGTAGACACTGAAAACAGCTTGCTATCCATTGATCGAAAAAATATGGTCACTAGAACAAGGTCACTCTCTGGGAAAGTGCCTGGCTACGTGCCAGAAACTGTTCCAGAGGAAACTGGACCAGAAACGGATGTACAGTCCTCAAATAATGACTCTATGACTGAATATTTAACCAATAACTTACTACCATTGGAAGGAAAACCAATGGAAGCCAATAGGGCCTTACCAGCCAAGTCAAGACGTTTTATTTTATACCCACGGTCTTTTTCGGTAGAAGGGAGAGATATGCCAGTCTCTGTTCACAGAGAAACTGATAGACCTACCCTGGATGAAAATAGAATAAAGAGGACAGATGACAACCTCTCTTTGCCCTGTGTAATTGGTTCTTCAGGAAGCTTTTCACAGAGAAATCACCTTTCGTCAAGTGGTTTGTCCACTCCATCCTCAGTTGTTGATATACCACCTCCTTTTGAACTAGCCTGTATAACCAAAAAGCCAATCACTAAAAGTTCCCCCTCGCTTTTAATAGAAAGCGAATCGCCTGATAAGTACACCAAGAAGAAGAAATCATCTTTTAAGAAGTTCCTCACTCTAAAATTCAAGAAAAAGACAGAAAATAAGGTCCATGTGGATGTTAATGTTTCCTCTTCAAGGTCCTCTTCAGAGTCAAGCTATCATGGGCCTGCTAGGATTATGGAACTGGACAGAAGGAGTTTGAATAGCTCACCTCAGCTAAAGTCCCATGCTGGGAAGCTGCGAGCTTCTGAGTCTCCTTCCACTGTTCTTTTCTACAAGGATGGTAAAAGAAAAGGGACACCCAAAACATTTAGCAGAAGTGTGTCAAGGGTGGAGTCCTTTGAGGATCGATCCAGACCTCCTTTCATGCCACTCCCTTTAACCAAACCTAGATCTATTTCATTCCCTAATGCTGACACTTCTGACTATGAAAACATTCCAGCTGTTAGTTCTGATTATGAAAATATACAAATTCCTCCTCGAAGACCAACCAGGGCAGGAACTTTTACAGAATTTTTTGAAGATCCCAGTAGGGCATTATCTGCTGCTAATGAGAATGATGGCTATGTGGATATGAGCAGCTTCACAGCCTTTGAGAACAAGCAGCAAACCACAGACCAGGAAACAGAAAGGTACTATAGTAAATTATTATGTAAGACCTGCTAGCCTTGACCAACCAAGACTTCTGTTAGGTGTCATAGGCAGACCCTCTGTTTTGCTTGGCTTATTCTCCTTGTTCAGGCAGTGTTTTCGAGAAAGAGTTTGGAAGAGTACAAGATAAACCATTATCAGTGATAAGAGACTAAATTAAGATGTATTGAAACTCTTTTTAGTAAACACTTACTAAAAACCCAGTGGAATTGGATGATTGTATCTGGGTAGAGGGCATAAGTCAAACAAAGTTCATTTTAAAATAATCATTTTACTCTGATGGATCTATTTTTTATGAGCAATATTTCTGAGCTCTTGTTTGAATGGAATTTATTACAGATATGATCTGTCTTACTATGTCTGGAATCTCTGCTTTCATTTAATCATTCTCACCAATTTCCATATGCAACATTGTGTACTTAATTTATCCTTCAAAGTACAGCAATTAAATATGGACCAAAAATGCCAAGCAAACCAGGACCTAATCTGAAGAGTCTATTCATTTATTAAATTGCTTAAAAATCTTTCATTATGGACTCTTGGCAGCTTCTGACTTCTGAATGAATTACATAAATGATTTGTCTGAAACAGCCCGTGTTGCATTTTGTGATTTTAGCTTCACTACTTGTTCATTTGCAAAAAACAAACGAACAAACAAAACCCAAAATGAACTGATCCAAATTCTTCTCAGTTACACTGGTGCAACTCTTTTGAAGATGTCTGTATTCTCTTTGATATTCCCTATTATCATTTTATAATCATATTATAGCTTGAAGCTACTGGGATGGAATTAGTGTAAAGGAGAAGGGAATTTATCCCACTGGTTCCAGTTAGAACAGATAAAGGGGAAACAAAGGAAAAGCAGCTGAATGAAAAATGGGGGTAGGGAGGTAAAGAAATGAATTAAAATCTTCCAACCACGTTTTTAACATACCTTTTGTTTTTCTTTCCTATCTGAGCTGTTTCACACTCATGTTTTCACTTTTTCATTATCTCCTTTTCCCACACATTTTGCATGAACAGGAAATCAAAATATTAATTGCTTGGGGAAGCTCATGTTAGTCAGGTTTCTCTAATTATATACTAGTCATTTTACTTTCAACAGTGCTGTTTCCATTGAAAAAACTGAAATTTGCTTTGAAACTGGGCCACTGGCTTGTATCAGTGACATACCACCCATTTTGGGTTATTCTTTAAGGCAACAATACTGAACTATGTAAATTGCTATGACTTAGACATATGTGTTGCCAGGGAAATGCCAATCAGAACTGGTTCAATGAAGTTTTGAGATCAAGGCTCAAACATGATATTTCAGGTTGTTTGTTTTGTGTGTTGTTTCTGACACTAAGGGAGAAATGAAAATTGGACATTCCTGAATAGCCCCTTTCTCAATTAGAAGGCTGTCTGGGAGGCAGAAATGTGTATGTTGCTAACAAGTTTTTATTGAGCTTCATTCATGTATTCAGTGATGTACAAAACAGAAAAAGACCATGCCCAAGATGAATTATCAAATAGATAAACAATATAGTTCAGTTATGTAATGCCCTGGATTAGACCAGAATAGTCTAATTTAAAAACAGTGTAATTGAACATATTGTGTGTGTGTGTGTGTGTGTGTGTGTGTATGTTACACACACATACATTGTTAGTATATTTATTATTAAATTGGTGCTTCTTAAAATGGACTTTAAGGGATATAAATTTTAGAATAATATCAAATCATATGAGAAGTAACCCTGCCACAGAAAGCTTCACGATGTTAACTTAAAATTCTTTGGCCTGCTTTTCTTATGATGCTTATTGCACTTATCTGAGATGGTGACTGCTTTGATACAATATACATGTAATACATGTGGCACTTCCTGTTATCAATGTATTCATCTCCATGGTGTTGATGTCTATTGGTGTATACTGTATATTGGTGCTACATATTTGATGAATAAATCAGAACAAATCTTCATTAAAGCTTCAAAGAAGAAAATTTGAAAAGGATACAGAATTATAATAATCCAGAAATCACCACTTTGCAAATGCCTGTGATTGGGTGGGGGACATTGAAACTGATAGATGAGAAGATTCACTTTTTAATTTAATCTTTTTTAAAATAAAAGCCGTATGAAGTAGATTTAAACTAATAATTTTTAATTAGATGCAATCAAATTTCTAGAAAGAGCTCAATAATGCAAGTATGCTGGAAATACATCTTATCTTACAATTACCATTGTGAAGCTAGTGTTTGGAATATTGCCCCCTGAAGGGCAGTTACTGTACATCCCCCAAATTTAACTATGGGGTATTAATAATTAAAATCTGATTCAGAAATGCAACAATATAGATGGTCATTAGCACACTGCGCTCTGGGAAAAGGAGTTAGCCACATGTGGAACCAGCCTTTTAGGCCTCTCAAAACCCCTTAACCATGAATTCTTCCTGACCTGAAAAGCCAAGAAATGTACATTTCAGCTTTCACTTAATTTTTAAAAAGGAAGATTTTAGGCCTTCTCTTTTGCAGAGATGGCCTTGAGCAATGTAAATGATATAAAATGACTGCTAGAGTTAAAAGGAACAGATACCCAGGCTCTATATCAGAAGCAGGAAGCTGCTCTGGTCTGATCACCCCCTTGCCACGTACACACATTTTGGGCTAGGTCCTTCACTGATGCCAGCAAAGCTACACCTATTTACAACTAGCTGAAGAGATGGCTTGTTAAGGAAAATAAATTATGTTTTCATTAAGTATGGGGTGTATTCCAAAGAACCATTTCATTAGCCCTCCACAGAACCCTTCCTTTGCCTACACCATGTGGCATAATAATGGTAAAAAAAAAAAAAAAACAGCTGTCATTTTGGGGAGGGAAACCAGATGTAGCAAACACTCATTTCACAGGCTCTCTGGTCACAAAACTTCAGGGGAAACAGCAGGGCACAGTATTGCCACTGTATTTTTAGAGCGATGGCAAAAAAAATGGTGCAAGTTAAGCATCTGCCATAACTGCATTTCCATCCTACTCTTCCTGCCACCAGGGTTTATCACTTGGCTCTAACAAATTTCCTAGGCTCAAATAGCCCCTGTTGAGTCCGTGTTCAAAAAGTTGGGGGGAAGCAAAAGGAAGCGATCAGCAGCTCCACCACATGCTCTCACCTGGAGGTTCAAACTTCCTGGGTAGGGGTGAGCTGGGAAGACACTGTCCCTCCTGGGCATTGTCCACCCAAATGTTCATAGGGTTCCCATCCACAATGGTGACCCATTCTGTTCACAGAGAGCCATAGTGAGAGGACTGAGGGTAGCCAGCAGCAGGGACTATATGGGACTGGTTTCTGGAAAGAGTCTTGATGTTGCCGTGCTACATGGTATGAGGAGTAGTGTGAGACCCAGTGCTTCTGTGTAGCTGCCCCAAGACCCCTGGCATTTCCTAGTAAGTCTCACAGGATATGAGGATTTGGAAGGCCAAGCACTAATCCTCTAATGTGATGGTTGGAACAAAGTCCAGGTTCCTTTCCACAGATGTCTTTATGGAAGGGGACAATCTGGTCGTTTGTTTGCTCAGCTATTCCTGTCTCAGTGAATTAAATGCATCACTCTCAGGGTATGTCTACACTCCCCCCCTAGTTCGAACTAGGGGGGTAGTGTAGACATACCCTCACTTACTTGGGTAGGGGAGCCCATAGAGTGTAAGCCTGGGAATTAATCTATCACTAGGACTTTTAGAGAAAGCTGGTGCCATCAGGGGATGGTTTCTAAGAATAAAGCAAGTGGAACTGGGCCTTTGATTTGCCAGATCGATCTGGGTATTTGCTCAGTGATCAGCGAGCAAGGTGGCTCAGGTAAAATATAGAACATTTAAACTGAATACAGCCTTTAACTTTGCAAAGCACCTGCAGCCTCTGTGAAGTCACTGCCTGGTAATGCAATTCCACATGGATATTCCCTACCACCACTGACTATACACACATGCTGGGCTTAAAAGCAGCAGGCTCAGGTACCACAATAAGTACATACAGAAAAGACGCAAGGGTTCTGTCAGCTCAAGTAGCTCCAAAAATCTAAAAATTACTCAAGTGTCAGATCCCAGTTACATGCTAGGCAGAGCTGTTATGGTCTACAAATCACTTCAGATACATTAAAAAAGCAGATATAACGTTACATTGGTTTTAACAGCTAAAAAGAGCATATAGTTCTTGATTTCTTCAACACTGATTCTCTTCCATAGGAGATTTCCCCTCACATGCTTTTTAATTATGAAGTGCATTTAGTGGTGGTGACAGGTACAGGCCTGATTGCCCTGCTGAATGAAGTCACAGCAAAAGACCAGTGGCACTATTGGCAGTGGAAATGCATGCTTCCCCCAATCCACCTAGCAGGAAGAGGGATCATCAATGTGGTGAGAAGGTACTTTAATCTTCAGATTATGTTTATTCCTCTGCCTCTATGATTAATTTACCAACAGAGAGTCTAATTGACTAGCATCACTGGTGATGGTGGTTTTGTGTTACTGACACTGGCCACTAGGAAGTGGCCTGAAACCATCATCTCCCTTTCACGCAGGTCACCAAACAGTTATCAAATGGTACAAATGGTTAATCATTGCTGTCTGGGGGCAGTTTGAGATTCACAAGCTAGTGGGAGATGATCTCCTTGGTGGGGCCCCAAACCAATCCAATGACTTTTTCCCTTTTCCCATTTGTGATTAACACTAAAAAGGCTCCAACAAGAAAAGTCACACAAAAATATACTTAAAGGGTGAAATTCAACCCATGGAAGTGAACCTGCATAACAGCTTGTGCACTTCACAATGCATTTAAATTGGGTGAAATTAATTTAATCCACGGTGATGAATTTCACCCAAACAGCATTAAGAACCTAGTTTTGACCAACAATCGGAAAGCTGCATCCTCCGCTCTCCCTGTTGTTCCTTGAAACTGCCAGCACATATATTATATAAGATAAAATCACTCTCTCTTTGGAGACTGAGTACGGTGC